AGTCGTAGCACAGTTTTACCCCCCCCCCCGCAAAGTTTCTAGCCTTAGGGTATGAAAGCAGCTTTGACAATCCAAACTTCAGCATTGTACGTAGCAGAGTTTGCACTTTGATGCATGGGAACACACACAACATTTCCTGATATCGTACTGCACAAATTTTCAGAAGGAGAGCACTGAGTCGTCTCTCAGAAGTCGCGTTTTATTAGACTCGAAACCGAATCTCCCATGTTTTAGCTTCCAACTTGTTCCTTTGTATGGAAGAGGATATAGTTATGGACACACTCCATACGAGACGCATTTCAAGGAAGGGCAACATTGTGGCTGCACATGTGATGTAAAATTCAACTAAGGCTAGAAAACCCAATTAGGTAAAACACACTAACACGTGAATCTCAACACATGCATAAACTGGATCACGTGGTAACTGGTCATTTCACTTCATTAATATCCGATACTATCACCTATGGACGAATGCGAGCAAATTTCTTTCCTGATTGTTTTAATATGATTCATCAACGTCACTTGAAAGGTTTTGTGGAGTAGAAGGGACTGAACTCCGATGTAAAATCTTCTGAACGGCGTTCCAGTGGTGCAGGATCAGCGTTCGGCTGGTGATTCGTCTCAGTCACGTGCCTGATGATCGATGAAGACAGCCCTTGTTTGTAAGCACGACAATCCTAGGATATGGGGTCTAAAATTCCAGTATCTTAAGAATTCAGCGGAAATTTGGACCACGAAGCACACTTCCCCTAAAACTTAACAATGATAGATGGTGTCTAACACTTAGGATAGGTTCCGTCTACAGCACTTTCGGGTCACTACAACCATTATCGAATTCGCAGTAACTGCGTGAACCAAGTCTATTCTGAACATCTCGCCTCAGGAAAGTAATGGTTCTTCCTCCTGGTGAATGTTTTGTAAGGAGTCAAACACTGAGGAGGGAGATCAGTCAGCGCAAAATGTTTTCGACTTATTTACAGTGAGTAGAAATCAGTCAAATCTGATAAATAAAAGTCAAGGCATTTGGTTCTGCGTCAAGAAACAAATCAGGTAATTCAAATTTACAGATAGAACTTCCGAATTTGTACGTGAGAACTTCGGAGAACCACAGACATTAACTAGTTTTTTTAATTAATACACCTCAGATGGCTAACCGTTTCTTGACGTTTCACATACTTGCAGGCTGGTTTCTTCAAACGGAAACGGTTCCTTCGAAAGCCGAAACAGGACAACACAGACGCATCTAAGCCACTTGACCCAGCTGCTGCCAAACCTACCACTACCTCTGCTTCCACCACCCAGTACTCTAGACAACCAGCTGTACGAACAAGAGGATATCAAGCAGGCACGATGAGCATGACTTCGTCTCAGGCTGGTGGACCTTTGGACGAAGGCCCTGTTACCCAACCAGCTGTTTCCGCTCGTGTATTCACCTTCGAGGAACCTTCAGGGCGGTTCTCTAGACGTATTGAGTCCGCAGCTTACTGAGAGTTATCATGAAACTCAAACAACCGCAACGCATTGCGAATGCCGCACAGATACCTGAACTTTCTTTCTTATTTTCAGCCACTTTTCTATGCAAAAACGACACACCTCAGCAGCATGCTTTCCAGCTTTCAACTTCAATTAGTTTTCTTTGACATGAGAATTCGCCAAGCTATTTGTGAACTTCGCAAAAACAGACCCCGAGATGGATTCCGCTCGCCAGGTAAAAATTAGAAAAGAAGAATTGAACGATGTTTTTGTATATCAGGCCAAACTAATGCAGTTGAATATCAGTCTATATATTCCAAAGTTTCAAATGATGTTTTTGATATTGGGATCTATTGAAAATAGTAAAACCTGCTGACCACCAGTACTGATATACAGCTCATTTTTTTCTGTCTACTCTCGAGACCTCAATGAAAACCGTCAAGAAGTTACTCAGGCGAGGCGTACAAAACTCAAAGTCCTTTACCTACCTATTTCAAAAAATCTAGAGGAGATATGAGGAGCCCTCGAATCTGCAATCCACTGCGCATTTCAGGATGACAGGGGTTGTTCACTTGATGATCTGGTCCAAATTTTTCACCGTGAGTGGAGTGATGGGTGAATATAGCTCCAAACTTGACAGTTCAAGTCCCCACATACATTTACGCCCTGCTTTTCAGGTTGAGAAATCCCTACCAATGCTTGGCGGTAAATTACACGCTCCGAGGATGTAGCGCTCCGGGATTCCACCAATCAAAATAAAACGCGTGTACCTCTTACGGAAGAGTCCAGAAAGTTGTGGATCTGGGAAGAACTTAGAAACATGTAGTTAACAAGGCTTGTTTTTTGAAGAACCGGCTCCTAGAATAGCATCTATTGCTCTTGCTCGCCTAAGTTTCATTTAAAAATCTGATATGGGATTTCATGAGTCGTGAAACGATTTAATTTACTTTTAATCCAGATTTCATCCAACACTCGATTTCGACCCATACTGGACCATTATGAGACACCGTATACCGGTTTTAAACCATTCAGCGGATCAACTGGTAATCGATTTTGCAATATTGGTAAGATTCTACTTCGAATCCTTCGCGGTTAGTTGAAGGAATATGCTGAGGTATCATATTGCACAAGAATAGCGCCGGGGCATGTACAAAATGATCTTAGTTTTCGACATCCTCTCTGTACAGGGCTTCGAGGGTGCACATTCCAACCAACTTGATAGACATGTGGCTCACGTGTAGGCTCTTTGGGACATAACTACAGAACATGGTTCCAGTGAGTAACGGACATCGAGTTAAATCTGTCATCATCAACTGTAAGGACGGCGTACTGTCATACTCTGGTTATAGCTATTATAGTTTCCTTCGCTGATGGTTTCGAGAGATGGGGCTAGTAGCTACTCATAGGACACGGTAGCTGGTTTAATTGGTGCGCAAATACAGGGTAGCCGGTAGACATTTAATTAGGGAGATTGGTGGGAAAGTTACGCATTGAAGGCAGTAGCTTGGACGCACGAGCGCCATTAAGGATGCGACCGGGCCATGCCTGGCTTTGTATCCTACGTAACCCCCCTAAGTTGTAGGTAAATGAACTCAGAACTCATCGCAAGTGATTACCAGGGTACTGATAAAAAGTACAATATTAAACTGGTAGTCGCAGAAGCCACATATCAAGTTTTAGTCAGTATTCACCCTACTCAGCACCTGTACTTCTCATCGTGGATTACGACGTATTCAAGTAACCACATTAGTCTCCTATTGCGCTTTCGTAGTATTGTTTGTTAACCTCCACATATGAGTGGTCTTCTGCAAGCTGGGAAAAAAGCGTCCCTTCGCAAGCGGTTGGACGGATTTTAATGTCTTCTGTTGATGTTAGTGCAGTGATTTCAAGTCTCATTTGAGTCGCATTGTCATGGCGTCTATGGGAATGCATATTCGTATGAAGTACCCCTTCTAGATGGTTCGCTTACGTAGGAGAAAATCGTTCAGCTGTAACACCCTTCCGGTGCCTAGCTGCCATGCCGCCCGAAGGAAGCACGAGAGCTGGGACACTGCCAGGTTGTCCAAGCCTAGACAGGGCAAGTCGAGAGGAAGAGGTCGGTTAGGAAATCTTAATGTGCTTCACTACACCGTCTGCTCAAAACTATGGTCGAACTGGACAATAAAACCCATTTGATCCGGCGAAAAATGTATCACGTTGTGGACGATTTCAAGAATAGCTTTTCACTGGTCCTCAATGAGACACTGTCAATATCTATATAATAATACATTTAGAGTGCTTGCCTCTCGGTCTGAGAGACCAAAACAACGTTCCAGTTATTGGCCGTTTCCTGTCAAGCGAGTTCTTCTACATTAGTTTCTAGCTTTCCGTGATCACAACCTTCTGCGGATCAAGCAAGGTAGGGTCCGTTTCTGTCCCGCTGCCAGCTGAGGTAACTTTCAACCAGGAAACCATCTGAAGTACGATTCTTCTTTGGTCTGTCATTGTTGTACCATCCAAGTGGATACAACTTCTGCATGAATACGATAAACTATCCAGTTGTATTTGCTTTTCATCCTACTGTCTTTGGTGCACAATAGTGTTTCCTAACAATTCTTGGGCCCAACTAGAGTTCGTCTCTAAAGGATCGTGAACTACGATTCTGCTTTCATCACCGTTTTAACCTAGAAGTTCCAGCTCTACTGATGCCTTGAGTATGGCGTTCCAAAATAAGAGTAGAATATGCACTGGTAAAAATTAGATTAACTGTTGCTACGAACGATGAAAAGGTTGTGTGCGTCCTTTGGTTTCATAGGGTCACGTGTAAAACACCGGTGGCGTGTCTTAGCACATTTGAATTTAATAAGCGGGTTCATTGTTCTACGAATCAATTCAAATGAACCTCACACAATGCATACGAGCCAATAGGGCTCACAGTCCTACTTTTATCGCTGCAGATCGCACGTTGAGTGACAATCATGCTGTGAAACCGAGAAACACGAAACCCGTACTAATAGGCAGTCGCCAGACGAACAAGAACAAGTTCTTTTGCGGCGACAGCAAGTGAGCTGAAAATGAACATGTTTTTGAAGGGTGTACTGCCGTAGGCTTCGTGATCGCAGACTTTAGAAGCAGGTTGCTCATATCTTGCCTGATTGGCGCTCAACACTGGCTTTCATGGCTGTTTTCATCGCTACTGCTCATACTTCAACCCGCTAACGAAAATCTCTGTGCACTGCACACTCATTCAAGTGACAACACAAACCATTATAAACACGAGCACATGCATTTCTTTGCACACTCGATGATTTAAGCAGAGCCGTGGTAGATTGGCAAGCGAAGCTTATAAACTGACTGTGTGCAGGTACAGCGCAAGCCACACTGAAGAAAACCATGCTGATCAATCTCTTACTAGAAGAGAACAGCAAGCTGCAGCTTTGAAATAGTCTCCTACTTTCGAGGCAGCCAGAAGCAGAAATTCGCTCTTGTTTTACCAAAAAGAACGTCTGGGGCTGTGTGAAGGCGGTAGTCCGAGTTCCATCAGGAAGGTATTTGTAGTGGTTGGGAGCTACAGCCTCCTTTGTGGTGTCAGCTGGGTAGCTCAGCAAGAAATCGACAAATTCGGCGGCTTCGAACGGAACAGGCTACCTATGATGCCTTGAAAATTGGAGCGGGACGCTTTAGTTTTCGCGCACGGTACCGAGACAGAGGAATATAACGAGTGTGGTAAAATACACACTGGCCTTGAGGTCCACCGTAGATCTTACTTGACAACGGCGTCTAATAAGGTGGCTTGCTTTCACTAACGTTTTCAAACAGATGTGGGAAACCTAGTCAAAAAGCATATGCGCTTACGGTACCTTATGAAGTCTTGACCGCACTGAGACTTTTGAAGATTGGTTCGAGGTTAGGTCTTCGCTTAGACCCACACCGTATCTGTGACCGTTTAAAAGACAGGAATACTGACCAGACCCAAACAGTAAGCACGAAGCATCTTCATGTGGGCTAAACACGGTTGGAACTGCTCAGAAATCGTATCACCTGTCTAGTTAAAATATGCTTTAGAAAAGTATGGGTATCCAGCTTAACGGCACACGTTTCATCTACCAAGAAGGGCAGATTGCGGAAATAAATATCCTCATGATTTTTATAATGGTGGTTGAAGATGTTCACAAATGAACTTCAGTCGGAGTTAGCCGTGTCAAGTTTTACGGTTCTCACATACTTTCAGCAATTGTGATTCCAAGGAGAAGTCACGCCACATTCTCACAAACAAAGAAAGCTATCCCTTCAGTTTGAACCATGAACAACATACACGTGAAAGGCACGTGATAGTCAGCTGTTTATCGAAGATCACCTGACCAACATATGGTATCCATAATTTCGTCCTGCCCCTAAATCGGATGGTCTGTAAAAGAAGTGACTGCAAAGCTGAACAGATGGCGGCAGTTGAGAGGAAACACAGGAAGGTCAAGTTATCATGAACAATTCACATATCGTTTGCTCAATCCCATTATCCCTGCTAGCTTATCACCATACCATATACTATCGAACCGTCCAAAAATTAGCACCCCCATTAAGGAAGTCTTTAACGTACATTAAGTTATGAAGTTTCGCAAAACCTTCGGATGAACAAACCCCAATGAAGAGTCCATGTGTGACAACTCAGGAGGGGGTTCACGTGCCTAAAGTGATTGCGAAACTCACTTGAATTCCGTGCCGAATTGTTCCAGTGCCCTCAAATCTAGGACAGCACCAGGGTGAATATCCTACGGCAACCACATACCTTGAATAACCCCCAAATTCTGCGTGTTTAGGTTACTAGAGGTTCATGTAGTAACGATAGCAAACTGTCACTGTCGAACATAGCACGAGAACGCGTGCACTTTCTTGCCAAATGTGTTTGACAAATGAAGGGCAGGATATTGGATGCCAACATGGCCGAACGACCACAAACTGTTTTAACGGGAAGTTGCTGCGACTAAATTCAAAATAACAGGAATCGCGTGAAGCCAATCAACTCCGCTTCTGTGTCATATCGATGCCATCTCCGACAGGCATACACAAGGCTTCTTAGGAGATCTGCTTCAATCTGAAAGGTATTCAAATCGTGTGGCCTCCTGAAGATCGCTAGTCCCTACCAAGTACAATTCGGAACTGTTTTGCCGTAACCGTATAATCTGCTATTCCAGGGAAGAGCTGGAAGAACCGTGACTGAACACCATCAGGATTCTTCATCCCGGCTGAACAGTCCCGTACAGTGGGACGGTAAGAGTATTGTAAAACCTGTTGCCCATGGCGTCACGTATTCTCCAAACTGGAGGAATGAAACTGCAATAAATTATATTCGTTCAGCTTTAAAATGCTCTCGGTGCCTGACTGGCAAGTCACCCAAAGAAAGCACGAGAGCTGGGATACTACCAGTTTTCCCAACCTCAGATAGGAGCAATCGAGATGCCGGGGTTGGGTTCGAATTACACACCTTCCGTTCAGTTATTTCTCACCTTAAGCACAGAACTATATAGAGCTCATGTAATTGTGGACATAACTTGATGGTCCAAGGAATCTGCCTTTCACTGAAGTGAAGCCAACAGTAAGACCAATCTCTCCACCAAGAGCAGTCTACATTTTGCTGCACTTCTGCAAATCAGCGATAAAAGGGAAATCAATATCAAAAACGTGAGGTGTCTGAAATTACAAATCACAGTGAGGCGGTGAAGAGAGTAGGATGGAACATGAACGATCAAAAGAGATAAGACATACTGAGTACGCATTTGTACAGGAGTAAACATGTTTGAAGTGTTTCTGGTACGTAGTTGTTTCTACTACAAAAGGTTTCGAATGTCTTGCTGCCGAGTGGGTGGTCCAGAAAGGTGACCAAGTACTACATGACCGATCAAGTAGACGTTGTCATATAGGTGTCCAAGAAAGTCATCCGTAACGTTCCGGGCTACACGTCGCGTGTTCCGGATGAACTCACGTTTGGACATTTTGTTCTTAACATGAGGGCACCAAAGGTCCACCGACAGCATGATAAGGGAGAAGCAGAGCAGATAGACCTCATCTGAAGCGAAAATCAGAAGCAGAAGAATAGAGTGAAACAACACCGTACATGAAGCAAGTAACAATACTCATTTATCATATCCAATCATGTTTTCTGGGTTGTCGACAAACGTTACAAGCTAGTCAGCCTCAAACGTTGAAGCAGTGACGATGGTACTTCATTCGAAAAAAAAAGTACTTGGAGAGCATCCCCACTTTGCCCAATTTGACGTAAATATCAACGATGCTTTTACTTTTTCGCTTGGGAATGATACTGTTGCACTGACCCCCACCTAAAACTAACTGCGTAGTGCGATGAACCTGAGGACTAAGCTGAATGGTTCTCACAAATGGGTGATCATATTATGTTGCTAGATGGTAACTTCACAGTGCCCGCCATCTGTGATATGTGAAAAAAGTGTGGGATTTCCATTATATCACTAGAACTTCCGTACTCATTGAAGTGGCGATGGAAATCTCTCCTAATGGTTTTCGGGAGGTCAGGGGTGATGGGCCCTAAGAACCGCAGCACGCTTCACTCGGTCCGCATAGTTGATAGCAACATCAGTGTGCCAGTACCACACAACCAAACCAATGAATCTGTACAGTGCCCTTAGTATAAAGAGGTGAGGACAAAAGAAGAGCGTGGTGCCACAGAACACTTACTACGGTCTAGGAGTGGGCGTCCAGCGCACGTACAACCAAGAGACCTACATCAACCAATAGACACTTGCCACATTGGCCGAAGTAGTTAGAGCGCGAATTTACTGACCGAAAGCTCCGTGGTTCGAAACCGACCTGTCAGTATCCCAGCTACGATGCAACCTTCCGGTGGCATGTTAGTTAGGCACCGAAAGGGTGCCGTCAAGAAGAGTCTGGACCTGAAAGTGGTGTGACGGTTTGCGCACCTCATCGACCCATTGAGCTATACTGGAGAGTGTCCCGCGACACTCACAGAGTCTCCAGGCCCTCTAGGTTGGGGGTTGGAACATGTGGCGACGTGTTCCGTAGAAATGGTAATGCATTTGCATTTCCCGCCAAACACCGCTGCCTTGTGGTTAGACTTTTGAGCCAAAGGCTTTGGTTGAGGACC